ATTAATTTGATAAGGTTGGGACTCGTAAATTAGCTGCACCAGATACGGAAGGGTTATCTTTGACTTGTGATCTTTGTTATACGTTCTGAGACCCCGACGCATCCGAGCCGAGCTTACTTCTGTCATCTGACGAATATCTTCAATGAAGAACTATTAGTTACGAAAAATCATGAAAAACACGAAACCAAGAAAGATTGCCGGCTGAAATTCTACTTACTTCGTACACCTCAATTTGCCATCTTAATGAAGCATTCTATTATTTGGTTGGCTATTTTATACTTGTCCTACATGCATGTAAGCGAGTGAAGGTGATGTAGGAATGGGAAAGAATGTAGTTAAAACATTTGTCTATTTAAATAGATTAGTGTATGATTATCCAATCCAAGACTTGTTTTATTTTCGTGGATGCGTGCGCATTATGTATATGCGGTATTCATGAATTAGTTGGAAATTGTAAGCCCGAAGTAAAACACCTGGTTAATAAATTCTCCTCCTACTAAGTGACTCTTCATGCTCCCTCCCTTCATCTCTCTAATTCTATCTAACGACTAAAGATAGATCTTGCTTAGCTTCCAACACTTGTTCCTCTTATTCAGGATGCTCTTTATTTTGATACTGGAATACCTTTAAATATTTTGAGAAAGCGGGTGGAAGGGGCTCATATATTGACCTCACTGGATACCGAAGGAGGGTTGCCTTGGACTTGTTTAATTGTTCAAACAAGACCTAGGCTCATCTTCCTGCGACCCAAAGGACTCCATGCTGAGCTTTCGTCCGTCATGTGACTGACACCATTAGAGCCAGAAACCGTAAGTTAAGAACAATTATAAAAAGAACCTGAGTCAGAAAATTAAGCCTCTCTTCATGTTCTCTATTTTGTTAATTTAAATAGACTCTATGATCTTCCGCTTAACTATGAGGTCCCCGAATCCGGTAAAACATTGAGTTTTAGACTACTCTATATGATGTCCTGTAGTGACCGCATGCCCATCCATAAACCCTTGCAGGCGCTTTTGTGCTCTGATAACTTCTTATGTATGGGTCGACAAGCCTCCCTCACATGAATACTACCATTTAATCTTATAACTTAATAACAACCTGATCTGCAGAGAGCGTCTGAGGATTCACTAAAAGAAGATATTGCCAAGGGAAGCGTTAGTATTTCTATATACATGGTCCCGACATTGCCTTTCCTCACTAATTAATATATCCTTTTCAAAAACTGGCAGGACGCTAGCCTTATGAAGCTGAACAAAGGGTTGTATATAAGAACTCCTATTTCTTAGTAGTTCGAAATTATTCGTATTTGATCCTAACGGATAATCGCACTAAACTAAAATTTATCTTAGCCTTTGCCTCTTCTCTATATGGTGATTTACGTGTGCTAGGCGTAAACTCCTTATTATCATAGATTTCATTACCCCTACCTTAACACCACAAGTATGGTTCTAGAACTTATGAAAACTCTCATTTGTAGGTTACTTATACACATCACTTCTTTAATAACTACAACATCCAAAAAGGGTAACTTCTGTCCTTTTCTAGCTTCATTATTTATTCAATCTTCCTATTTAGAATAACACGGGGAATTAGACAACTCTTCTTCTAGGTTCCTAATTCTATCATTCTACAAGCTTTCGAAAAAGAGATGAGAATTACAGGGGAAATGGAACTTCAGGACCATGTATAAAGAAATACTAATGCTTCCTTCGGTCATGCCTTTTTTTGAAGAATCTTCAGACACCGTCTGCAGTTCAGATTATTAGGAAGTTTTCCTCGTATATGTCAGTGTTCATGTGAAGAAGACTTGTCGACATATGCATAAGAGGTTATCAGAACACGAGACACCTTCCCTGTGACTACTGCACACGTAGAGCAAATTATTAACATCGCCATGCCGAAACCTAGGCGAGGTCGACACTGCAGACCAACTTAAATGAGATGGTCATTTGAAAGGCGAGTATAGGCAAAACTCATTTTCATAATAAGGCTTAGTTATTTTACTGAGGAAAAACTCAACCATTAGTTCTTAAGTAACCTTAAGCGACCTAGGGTAAGTAAGCTCTTTAATTCACGGATTGCTGGTAGTATAGAAAACCCAGTAATTCACCCATCATCTTTAAAAGCTAGCATAAGAAGCCTGGATCGAGAGTATTCTGATTCCATGCTTTGCTCTAAATAAATTATAATCCTGTCATATTTCCTGATATGATGAGATTATGAATAACTAATTCTAACAGATTGTTCTGAACTAAGACCTTTCTTAGACTTTTCAATTCTTGATTCTGGTGATTAACGTCTACTGATTTCCTAATCTCATTTGACACCCAGCATATGATGGGCATCATCAGAGCTGGAACTCATTCTTGTAAGTTTCCCGTTAACACTAGGTTGTGCTGACTACTCCACACTCAATTTGGCTACATTTCACGGTTATCTCACGATGCATGCAACACCAAGAGGAGTATGACTCACCTGAACTGTGTCCAACGAGGACTGGGCAAACCTAGTCACCGCATCGAGCCTCTCCTTTGAATCAATCAGAACGTGGCACTAAAAGTACACGAAAGTATTTTAAGTCGGGAACTAGATCGAATGTGGACAGTGTTTCATTGCTCACCTTAAGCCGTCGTTACCCTTTCTGACCGAACACCATTATCTTGCCCCAACACCACACTCCAACATCGTCTGAACTTCTCCCACATCGAGATCCTCACCTGTAACTTTCCTTGTATGCAAGACACTCTGACTCGTTTTGTTGTTCCTCTATACAAGGCTGTAGTAGTCTATGCAGTAGCGCAAAGCCGAGCACATATTTATAGTGAATATTGTTCTGATTGACTCAAAGATCAAGAAGACTCTCTTACCCCTTATATAGACTCAGTTAAGCAAAAGAAAATTAAAAGGCTAATTATCTTTCGCATTGGCCTTTTACTTTTTTTGCTTAGTTGGGTCTATATAAGGGCTAAGATAAAGCCGGATAGTCTTCTTGACCTAGTGTTAACGTGAAGCTTTTACAAGAATAAGTTCCAGCTATAATGATGTCCATCATATTATGAGCGAGAGTTCAGCCTGTTTTCATCCGAAGCGAGGGAGGATTTCTCGTGGACCGCATCAACCTGAATGTCGTATTAAGACAAAACGACTGCAGTATAAAGGAATTCAACCGTCCTTTTCTAATGAGATCGACTAACGAATCTCTTCTTCATACACTTTCAAAGGAGATGAAAGTCCACCCAACAATTTCAAAATACTAAAAAATAGGATGAAATTAAACTTGTATTTTGGACAAAACAATGAATTAGACAACTCCTCATTCAAGCTCCTAATGCTACCATCCCAGAAGCTTTAAAGAAAGATAAGCGAATTACTCAGGAAATTGAGCGTCAAGGCAATGTATACTAAAATACTAAAACTCCTCGGTCACGCTTTTTTAGAGAATCTTAAGACGCCCTCTGCAGCGTCTATGTTGAGGAGACTTGTCGACTCACAATCGCCTGTTAAGTTTTATGGATTCAGAAATCGGAAGTGGCTAAACATATAGTCACTACAGGACACAAGATGAAGTGTTCTAAATCCCAAGGTTTTGCCGGATATGGGGACTCCACAGCTAAGCGGAATATAAGAATCTATTGAAGCTAACAAAACAAAGAACATCCCGAATAAGAGGAACTAATGTAGGAAATTGTGTAAGAACTATCTCTGGCTGCTGAATAGTATTAGAGATAGAGAGACAGACAGGGAACACGAAGAGACACAGAGTAAGAGAAGACTTAAGCTGGAATGTAGTTTTGGGCCTAAAATTGCCAACCAACTCGTGAGTGTTGGATACACACACGAAGGATTACCCACGAAGTTATAACAAACCCCAGGATTACAGGATTATACGCTAGTGTATTCACGTATACAAAGGTTATGATCACATCCGCTCCCCTTCCTGCATCACTTTGACTTGCTTACATGCAAGCACGACAAGCATAAGACAGCCAACCAAATTATGGAGTGTCTTATTAAGATCGCAAAGTGAGGTATAAGAAGTAGGAAGGATCTCAGCAGGCCACCTTTCTTGCTTAGGTTATTTGTTCATTGCTCGTGAATGATGGTTTCTGGCTCTGACAATGTCAGTCACATGACGAACGCAAACTCAGCACGGAGTCATCGGGGTCGTAGGACGGTGAGTCGTCTTCTCACCTTCGCACCTTCGGTATCCGGTGCGGCCAATCTATGAATCTCTTTCATCTGCCTTTACAAAGGGAATGAAAGGTATACCAGTATTAGTCGTCCATATATCTGGCCAATACACACAGTACACATGAATCCACAAACTTAAAGCAAGCGCCAGCATTGACGATCTATACGCTTAGTTAAGGAAACAGCCGTGACTACGTCAGCGCCACTTTTCACGTTTGAACTTAGCTCGTCTATGTGCAGGAAGGGTAGGCATTAATTAGCCAATCAAATCATGGGATCCCTCTTTACAATAACAATTAGGTATCTTGGTTTAGTATTTTTGAGGAACTATTCGTAACTGATGGTTTGTGGCTCTAAAGATGTTGGTCACATAACGGACAAAAGCTTAACATGGATTCATCGGTGCCGTAGAACTACGACCTAAAGTTTTCCAGCAACCCAAGGTAATCCTCCTTAGGTGTCCGGTGAGGCCGATTTACCAATTCCTCAAACACAGCGAAGGGTAATTCAGCATCAACCTTTTTAGGTATACTCTTAGTTAATGGGTCAAAATCCCATTGATTCACCATTAACCACATGGGTTCCGACTATATACACGAGAAATCTATATATGACTTTATTGGACCCTTATACCTGAAAGACCCCAAGAGCATTTGCTCATGTTTGCTGAAAACTGCTATTAGTTTTAAACTATTTATAAGAAGTGCAAATATATACAAGATTACCAGGTTTGATTTAAAATTGGTAAGCAAAAGTTTCGCATCATGGGCAGAATAACACGAAATAATTAGACATCAAAAGGGAGGCGCATGATGCATTTGGCTGGAAGGAACCTGCGGACGAAGGCCCATGGATAAAGTAAGCCCACCTCCAGGAGTAAGAACCAAATTTCCTTGGCCTGGGTTAGAGGAAACCGACACAGTGTTTGATGAAGAGCCTAGGAGACAATGACCTTGTCCAGTTTGATGGTGTTGTGACAAGGCCATCGCATGCTGTTGTTGACCTTGCGTTTGGGAAGAAAGCAGTGAGGTTGGCCATCGCAATATCATATTAGAACCAGGAACAGAAAGCCCAGGACCGGAGTGTTGCTGCATTTGCATGAAATAGGGAGTGAATAGAGTAGTAATTATACTTATTAAAAAAGTATTATCAAAAAAAAATTTGCTACACAGTTGATATGATTTATCCTTCTGAAGAGACATTGCGGAAATAAAGAATGGATAGTTGACGTTTGTTGCCTAATAGCTTTACGATTGAGTTAATATCGCGTGTGCAGCTGATTTCATAATGCCATACGACAGGGGGTCCAGCTAGCAAAAATGATATAAATTGCAAAAATCTCCTTAAGTTCTATATCCACGTTTAGGAAATGTTTTAATTAAACAAAATTCCAAATGATAACAAGTCCATGATAGAAAAATAACGATATTAAATAGGTCTGCTTTATTATTTCTTCTATATGGCCTGATGAAAGCGTTTATGAATAAAATGTTTGTTCATTGTTTCCTTGCGACAATAGAAATATGTAAAAATAAATAAAATCCAACGAAATAAGTGGTTATGAGACTCATTATCAAATTGGGCAGTGACATAGATGTACATTTATATTAATCACGTACGTAGAAATGAAATGTACGAATTAATCAACTGCCTTAAATATCAATAAAACATGATGCCAAATATTGCAGGGACCAGCTTAACCAGCAGGGCTTCTGGTTAAGTAGAAGGTAGTTCCTGAGTAATGTATAGCTTAAAACTTTGCAGCACCACTGAATTCGGCCTAAGTGTGATATAAGAAAAATGAGAATAGTCCAAGACTTTGGGTCAGAATTTTTCCTTAGCTTCATGTTAAGCTTTAAATCCAATAAGGTGTAAAACAA